CAGCAGTCAGGACATTAGACGACGTGTAGCATTGGGAAAGTCAACCACAAAGGAACTGTTTCAAGTGCTGAGGAGCAAGGATGTCTCCTTGAGGACTAAGGTGTGCCTGACAGAAGCCATGATATTTCCAATTGCCTGGTATGCATGTGAGAGCTGGACAATGAATAAGGAAGACCGAAGAAGAATTGATGCTTTTGAGCTGTGATGTTGGTGAAGAATGCTGAAAGTACTGTGGATTGCTAAAAGAACTAACAGGTCTGTCCTGCAGGGAATGCAGCTGGAATGCTCCTTGTAGGCGAGAATGGCCAGACTTTGTCTCACATACTTTGGTCATGTTGTGTCCTGGAGAAGGATGTCATGCTTGGTAAGATGGAGGGTCGACAAAAGAGGGGAAGGCCTTCAACGAGATGGATTGACATGGTGGCAGTGGTGATGGGCTCAATCATAGCAAGAATCATGGAGCTGGCTCAGGATCAGGCAGTGTTTCCTTCTGCTCTGCATAGGGTCGCTATGAGTTGGAGAGGACTCGACAGCACCTAACAACAACAACAACAACAACACTCACTCACTGCCTTGAAGTTGAAGCCAACTCATAGTGACCCCACCTTGGGTTACCAAGGTGGTATCTCTATGGAAGTAGATTGCCCAATCTTCCTTCTGAGGAGCGGCTTTTGGGTTTGAACCACCAGCCTTCTGGTTAGCAGTCAAATGCCTTAGGCACTATCCCACCAGAGCTCATAATTAAGCCTTTTAAATGTGCCTGCCTGTATTTCTGTATTATTCAAGTTGCTATAACCAAGTCTTTAATTTTATACCAAATTACCACAAACTGGGTCGCTTAAAAGAACAGAAATTCATTCTTTCCCAGTTCTGGAAGGTAGATGTTTGAAATCATGGTGTCTGGAAGGCCATACTCTCTCTGAAGGGAAGGGTTTAGGAGAGGATCGTTCCTTGTCTCTTTGAACTTCTGTGGCCCCGGGCGTTCCATGGGTTATGGCAGCATAACTCCAGTCTTTGCCTCTATCTTCACAAGGCCATCTTCCCTATATATCTGTCTCTGTATCTCTTTTCTCTTTTTATAAGGAGACCAGTGATAAAGAGATTAAGACCCATTCTGATGTCCTTATGCTAACTTACCATATTTGTAAAAACTCCTAGTTTCAAACAAGGTCACATACACAGGTACAAGGCATTAAGATTCGAACATATCTTTTTTGGGAACACAGTACAATCTATAGCACCATCTGACAAATAGACAAATATCTATTCCAGGTTTAATTTGCATTTCCTTTACTCACATATTTAAGCACCATTTATATTTCTTTTTCTATGAATTCCCTGTTCATGTATTTTAATGGTACATTCTCACTGATATTTAAGGGCTTATTATATATATATATAGAATATTAGCTTTGATGTTATAGAGATTTCATGTCATTTTTTTGTAATTTTTCTTCTGAGTTTGTTTTTAATGGGGCAGCACTGGTGGTGGTGGCCTAGTGACTAAGGCATTTGACTGCTAACCAGAAAGCTGGCAGTTCAAACCCACCAGCCACTCCTCGGAAGGAAAGTTGGTCAATCTATTTCTGTAGTGATACCACCTCAGAAACCCAAAGAGGGGTCGCTATGAGTTGGATCTGACTCCATAGCAGTGCGTTACTGGTGGTGGGTACTTCGTTAAAAGTTACGTAGTTGAAGGGCCCATTCAAACAGTTTTCCCAAAATTAAGAGACAGTCTGTCCTGAAAGTAAATTCAATTCCCCGTTTTCTTGCAAGGTTACTTTAAGATGACAGGCTTTCTCCTCCTCCTCTATATATTAAAAAAGAAAACCACACACACACGCACACACACACAATTCCCACAATTATATATATATATAATCTTCAGTTGAGAATTGGAATGCCCCATTAAACTAACATCAGAATGAAAACAGAAGTACAATGAGATCAGAATCTATAATATGGACAGATTACACAGAAGGTAAAGAATAACAGGGCTTTCCTATAAAGGAAGGGCTGTCTTTGTAACATAATTCTTATTGATAACAATTTATTGTAACTAAATTAATATAGCAAATGCTGCCCTTCTTTGATTCAATAACTTTTCTCATGCAGTTCTTATAGTAATGGTGAATACACTTCAAAATATAGAATTTATCAGTAAAACAAGTAATTTCTAGTGTCTCTGTTTTGAGAAGGCAAAAGAACAAATAGTCATGGTTGTCCAAGAGACTGAAAAATAGTTTAAGAGTCAAAGACATGAAGTTTTTATTTTTCCAAATCTGGGGACTGATCTTGGGAAGGCAAAATGTAAGAGTCTTTCAGAGGAGACTCTCCCTTGATTAAGATAGATGCGTAGATGTCTGGGAACAATGAATAATTGCAATTTGGCTGTTAGTAAGGAGATAATGCAATATTTTAAAATGAAACAGTGAAATGTAACATAATTAAGCTTTGGCTATTTCAGAAGTGCAGAATTTTTGTTGTTTGTTTTTATAAATCAAGGACACAAAATCAACATAAAGCATAGAAAATTATTCTTGTGAGATCAGAATCTACTATCTAGGCACTGATGGTGAACAATAATCTTCTTACTTCTCATGAAGGTTAAAAAGGAGCCTTGGTGGAAAAGTGGTTAAAGCACTTGGCTGCTAACCAAAAGGTCGGTGGTTCAAACCCATCAGCCACTCTATGGGAGAAAATTGTGGCAGTCTGCTTCCATAAAGATTTACATAAAGGTTAGTCAGGTCTACTCTGTCCTGTAGGGTCTCTATAAGCTGGAATTGACTTGGGGGGGCAGTAGTTTGGATGGAAGTAAAATAGAATGGCTTTCTATTATGCTTATAATGATGACCTCAAAAACTACTAAGATTTGGTGTACTTGGTTTTAGAAAACAGGCATTTATGCATTTTTAGTGTGATTTTCATAAGGAAATAGGTTTAGTGTGATTCCCACTAATAATGGTTAACATTTAGAATTCACAGTCATCGAGCACATCCCATAAACATCCCTACATAATATGTATGCTTAGTTTGGTTTTCAAAAACAACTTTTTAAAATGAAGATAATGCATTTATTCATCATTTAAAAGCAGTATTTTTCAAGTCCCTGCTTAGTGCCATTAGGTCTACAAGGAACAACAATATGCAGGGCAGAAAAGATCCTTGCTCTAAGGGATCTAGTATTCCACTAGGGAGAGGGGACTGCTAGTAGAGAAACAAATAAATAAACAAGATATAATGTCAGATAATAAATCTTATGTGA